CTCTCTTTTTTGTTGGATTTTTAATTGTTGCCGAAACGTCTGAAGAGACATTACGGGGGAAGGAAGAGGCATGGCCCATTTATCTCATGCTGCCGGAGGGTCATCTCTTCACTCCAGGCCGGGTTGGGCCGAGGGAAATTATGTTTTGTTTTCGTTATCATTCCTGAAAATATTGTGGTCAGTAGCAGGCCTCGTAATTAACTTTTCTTTCTATTGTCCCAGCACTGTCCCCAAAATAAATTTCAATTGTCCCGAAGTGAGGATAAACTGAACCAATCTGTTTTTGGGGGGAAGTATTGTATGACCTCAACTTGAAGTCAACTTTATTTTGCTTATGTTCACACCCAGGCGCACTATAATTGCAGTGTAGATAGGAAATTCGGGAGGACTTTGCTAGCGAGGAAGGGGCAACTATTTACCCGATGTACTCAATAAATGTCTGCATCTGAAACTGGTAAATCAACGTTACAGACGTGTTGTTGAAAGTCAGATATTTCAAATTGTATGTCCCTTACCAGAAGTCTGCAGCGGTTTTTGCTAGTATCGGTCGGGAAACCAGAAACACAACATTTTCCCCAGGCCTCAGTCCGTACATGTACACTCATCTCCTGTCTGAACGGTGCCGTGGATTCGCACGGTTCATGAAACTCTGTAGTAATGGATGTTTTATGTGTGACGGCGTTTTCAGCATACATATTCAGGTTTCTCACCAGGATTGTTTCATAGCATAGGGGTCAGGTACAGAATAGCAACTTTCGTGGCGCAAATCGCGCATTGAGCCGAAATATTTTGAAACTCATAACCCCCTGAGACACTATTTCTTGTTTAATGAGGAACAGATTTTGTAAGAACATATTTTGTGAACTAAAGGTTTTCCCTTTGCTAAAGCTTCATTCTAAAGTTACATTTTCATTTTTTGTGTGCAAGATATATGACGGTTCTCCATCCCCAAATGCCCCTATGCTGGTTAAAAGACAGCATAGGGGTCAAAATTATACCATAGGGGGTCAAAATCATAGCATAGGGGACCCCTATGCTAAAAAGGCCTGGCTAGAACACTGATATATATTGGGGAGGGCAGGACACGCCGAGTGGTTTTAATGTCGCACAGAAGCCGGCTTTATCTATTATTTAAACAGTCTAACTAAATTGTTAGAGGTAGTCACACAAATCAGCCCGGACAGATCTGTGTTTAGCCCACCGTGACTCATGTTAGGCCACAACGACTTAATTTTATGGATGACATCCTCGCGCGCATTGATTTCCGCCCCCCCCCCCAAAAAAAAGATCACGTCCTCCGAAGCTCTGGCCTGGCTCTAGGCCTGGGTAGTCCATGATAGTTAGTGACAATACGGAGCCGATGCTAACTCTGGAGGATGGGACCCAGGCTACCAAGCTTCATGACTCAAGAACTCAGTACATACGTGCAATGCCGATTCATAAATTCCGCAAACGGCCAGCATGGGCCACACATACGTCGCTGTGTACTGCCGCAAATTCACAATACCAGCTTTGTATTCCTGTGTTTTTAGAAGCATTTTTATTTTTGCCCGGAATTTTTTTTTGTACATATTGTCATTGTCGTGAATCTGTATGTTTTGTTTGTACCTACGTTGTATTTTCATGTGCTACTATGTAATGGTCAGCACAATTCAGCGGTCCATAACCTGTTATGTACTGCTGCTATGCTGCTACTGTTTTGAATAATAAGGAATATTCGCCCGCGCGCACTAGTTTGGGGCTCTTCAGAGGATGTCATCCATAAAACCAAGTCGGTGTCGCCTTAACAACCCTCCACGGTTACTACGTTGTAAGTAATCCGGAGTACAACTCTCAACATGGCGTCGTGACTCGGTTTCTTCTTGACCCTTTTTATTCCCTCGCCGTAAGATATCGGCAAACAGCGCATAATTGTCCGAAATGCCAGCTATTACAGAGCTGCGATTGAATCATGGATGTGCTCGCGTTTACTGCCCGTTTAATCACATATATCCGACGCTATCAAACAGCGAGCTTTTCTCTTTGTTCCCTCCGGCTCCGGTATTATTTTCACATATCCCGCCATTAGGCCACAGCAAGTTATTTTAATGGATGACATCAGCGCGCGCATTAATTTTCGCCTGATTTTGAAAAAAAACCAAGAAATTTTGTTGCCTTCTGACAGTGGTCAACATGACGAAAATGGGCAAAGATGTCTGTTGCCATGCTGGAAGGTGGATGGCAGATAACTATGACGAGAGGAGACAAGAAACGGCTCTGATTTAATGTTTTGTTTCTTACTTTGATGCAATGATATGTGATGATATCTGTGTATATGTGATGTTCTCACGGAATAAAAGCCATTCGTACAATGATTGAGTCAAAATTTTATAATGTAGGAACCTTGTTTTTTTTTGTCCCGTTTTTTTTTCACCCGCTCACATTAGATTTGGAGTCTGCGGAGAATGTCATCCATAAAATTTACTTGCTGTGGCCTTAGCCGGCGAAGTGGCTAAACGCTCGGCCCGCTTGTTGTGTTTAAAGTCTATGGTTACCGGGTAGCGAGGGGAAGCGTTGGCGTCATGACGTTATCATAAGCCTGCTGCCTGGCCATCACTCTCCCGGGTTTCCATTACCTACCAGGGCTCGAAATACTGAGTGCATGTGCACCTTTTAGTACACCCAAAATTGGAGCTGTGCACCCAATTTTTTTCTGTGGGTGCACCAGTGCACCCAAATATTTTGTAAGTATTTTTAATATTAGATGTATAATAGTACACAAGATATTCTTGGCATCTAAGGGGTCAGAAAAATAATAAAATATTTCTTGAAGTACTTATGAAGCGCAGCCATAACAGCAGGGCGCTTCCGTCCAAGCAACTCACACACTTCATCTGTCCTTGGTGCTGAATTCTGTGACGTTATTCTCCGCGCAACCAAAACCTCTCCAGGCCGCACGCTAATAGAAGGGCTCGACTCAAGCACATACAATCACTCAGTCTACATTTCACATGGACTAGTCTGCCGATGAAAATCCAAGGGCCGACTCAAGCACATATATAATCACTCTGCATTTCACATGGACCGGTCTGCCCTTCAATGATTGAACACATGGGGTCATGCAATGTGATTAGCGTAATTCCAGTCAACCGTCCAGTTGCTAAGCGTTTCGGGCGGGGGTTTTAGTTAGGCCGATGGCCGAACCGACGGATATCACTTATACAAGCACTACCTCGGTAACTATGGTGCCCAATATTCTATCAACATCAAGACTCACCAGGTTTGGAAGGGTCCGGTTTAGAACGCTACAGAATGTTGCGCCATGGACTCTGCATGTGCGTACATAATTAAGAATGGTACAATAAGCGGTGTACTCATCGGGTTTTGCGGCGTCCGTAGTATCGGTTTCCCATAGCGAGTGGTTTAGACGGCTACAGAATGTCTGCATGCGCGAACGTTAAGAATGGTACAAGGAGAGGTTGACTCACCGGGTTTGCAAGCGTCGAGTTATTTTAAGATGTGCAGGTACAATATTGGCTTCTCATTTTGGAACGCTACAGTATGCCCGCCATATATTTTGCTCAGGCAGCATGTGCGTGCATTAAGAGCGAGGTTATGGTACAAGGATAGGCCTACTCACCGGGTTTTGCTTGGTCCGTAGCCTCCATCTTGATGCGCTCCTGCTTGCGCTTCTGCTGCAGGCTCTCGATGGCGGCCTGTCTTTCCCGCTGCTTCTCGGGGCCCGTCCGGGGCACGCTGGGCGGGGCGCCGGGCGGCAGGTCGGGCAGGCGGCGGCGCACCCGCGGCGGCCGGCTAGCATCGCTGTCGCTGCTGTAACCCTAAGGAAACAAACCGGGAAAAAAACTCAGGACTTATAGCCTGGGTGCCAGACGCTAGCGCTGGTGTTCATAAGCTACAGTATCCGCCGCCTAAACCCAGGCTGCCCAAAACCCTTTATCTTTCACACCGGCCGACTAGCATCGCTGTCGCTGCTGCAACCCTAGAGCGGAAACAACGGGGGAAAACTCAGGACTTGTCGCCGAAATTTCATCCTACACGAGGGTGATCAATGGGGGGAGGGGGCGGCTAACATCGCTATCTCTGCTGTAACCCTAAGGAAACAACCGGCGAAACTCAGGACTTACCACCCATATTATAGCCTGGGTGCCAGACGCTGGCGTTCATAAGCGATAGATTTTTTGTGTGGGAAGAAGCCTCAATACCCGCTACAGTACCCGCGGCCCAACCCCTTTATCTTTTACGTTAAGAGATAATCCTGAGGAAACAACTGGCAAAACTCATAACTTCTTACTAGTCTTTACCAGACTAACTACGCTGGCTGTATATAGGAGAATATTTGCCAGGGGAGTTTGGCCGCCTTGTAGGTTTGACTACCCGCGGAGGGAAAGAAACTACCTCCACGCGGCCGGACTCCCGAGTTTTACTCTCTTTTTGGCCGAATTCTACGATCCGTATTCCCGTAGAAAGGCCTGGTGGAGGCTAACTTTGTACCGCCCAGATTACACCCTACACGGGCGGGGTGATCCATGGGGGGTAACGTCCAATCGCATGTGATGAACGATAATTGCGCGATTAGTCATCCAATTACTGTAGCAAAACGTGACGCACACGATACAGCCCAACCCCACCCACCGACGGTACGGAAACCCGCACGGTACAGCATGCAGGTATACCCTCTAGCCTCCACCAGGCCTTTCTACGGGAATACCGATCGTAGAATTTGGGAACAAACAGAGTAAAATTGGCCAAGGGAGTCCGGCCGCGGGGAGGTAGTTTCTTTCCCTCCGAAGTGCGGCCAGTCAAACCTACAAGGCGGCCAAACTCCCCTGGCAAATATTTTCCTATACATAGCCAGCGTATAGTCAGCCTGGTAGAGACTAGTACAGACACCCGCACGGTACTGCGTGCTGGGATACCCACGCAGAGAAACGCCCCCCCCCCCAGTTATACTAGTAATTAGATCGCTAGAGAAGGCCCGGTACCCGACCCAATCCCAGCCACAGAAGCAAACTATGGCGGTATAGAAAACGGCACGGTACGCACTTAGAGAAACGGTGTTTCCCCAGCTATAATTAGACTGCAGAGGATGTCCCGGTACAGGTAGACAGCTCCTACAAGGCTCTGTCCCTAGCTGGCCCAACCCCATCCACAGAAACAAGCCATGGCGGTACAGAATCAGTACGGCATTACACTAAGGATACCCACGCAGAGAAACGGTGGTCCCTCCGGCTATAAGTAGATGGAGGATGGCCCGGTACAGGTACACATGTCCCGCAAGCCTCTGTCCCTGGTAAACGCGCACCAGCCGGCTTTCTTCTCAGGTAGCATCGGTCCCTTCCCAGCCGGAATATTTACATCACGGCGCCGAGGATCATGGCCGCCGCCGCCGCTCCTGCTACTCGGGAATTACAGGAATACGAGCCGGAGTCTTTCGTCACGCCACTCAATATTTCGCGAGATGCAAACCCGCCGGGACGGTCTCAATAAGACGATGTATTCCGCAAATGAAATCATTTCATTTCGCAAGCGCGGCCCAGACGTAATCTGCGTCTACGTCGATGAAGGTTAGACATCCAGGTAATTAGATACGCCAATAACAGTTACTTAAGCAACTGGATATGATTTTGGAAACTGTCAGACGTTTCATGGTAGCATGTCTACCTTTCGTCAGTGACACAGTAATCTACGAATGTACGATTCGGTATTCACAGATGCCGTCCGTCCTCTCGTATAATGTACAATTTCTGTTGATCGATACTCAGTGGACTATTCATTAAAGCTATGTAATGTCCTGCCTGCTGGGGTTTTATTCAACATAATTTCACTACTTTGCTAATTATCAACTCAGTCGATATTTTTAGAAGGGCCTGCATGGGGGGGGGGCGGGGTGATTACGAATTTCGCAAAATTTTCGGCGCCGATTACGAGTTACGTTAAATTCTCAGAGCTGATTAGGACTTGACGCTTTGCGGCTAATTTATATGTACTGATTACGAATTACGTTGATTTTTGGGAGGCTGCCTACGGATTACGAAAACTGAAAAGGCCCGATTACGCCTTATGAAAAAGGGCATGCAGGCCCTCTTTTACAGGGACGGACGTTAACGTTTTGGGGGGGGGCGAATTTGTTTCAGCCATTTGTCACTGGACCGTGTCGACCGATCGCGGCCATGTTCCTTGCCACTCTGTCATAGCGGCAAATTATTAATGGGTGCCGCGGGCGTTCCTGTCCCCCATTCGTTTTAGCCTTTTGTACGGCTGTGGTACAAATAATGCACTCAATACATGCAGCTTCAATGTGTTCTTTGTGGTTACATCAGATACAAATTGCTGTGAGAATCCAGGTATATAATTCGCTTATCTTTTTTTTAAATTAATTTTGGACGTGTTTGTGACTTTGTATACAACAACCGCAATTCAGCACTCGTGCTGCGAAGGGTTATTTTTTTTAATAAACCATTCTCTCTCTAGCTCTCTCCCTCCCTCCCCCCCCTCTCTCTCTCTCTTTAGTGCAATCTGTTGCTACTAGCTCCGTCTAATGCTGTGTATAATGTTATTTCGCGGGGATCAGGGGTGATTTTGCCATCTACATCATCACAGTCGGTCTAACATCAATAGCTGCCCGACCCCGGCGCCGCAATGAAAAACCGCGCGGCGCTGCCTTGTGCAGCCACACTCAGATCAATGAATGAATGAATGACGACCTTTATTGCACATTTTTGCCACACTGGGCTAAGTACAGGTCAAAACAAGACATGATGAAAAGATACGTACAAAATAAAACTAACTATCATTACATAAATTCAACTTCTCGCTTTTCAGTTATAGTAGAGATGTGTTTTTCGATGGAAGGTTTGTCAAGTCGCATTAGGAATATGAATTTTTCTACAGTGCACAAGGGTATGAAGTAAGGAAATAGGTTTTGTACAAGCCTATACAGATCAATGCCAGGATAAGTCGGGCGAAATTGCACCAAGGCGCGTCTCTGCCAGTCATCCTACAATCTCAATTACCGCGCCCGGCCAGAGGATGAGGGAAACAGCCGTGACTTATTGAAGACCTTTGGAAGTCTGAACCTAAGTCCAGCCTCATACAAACTACATGACAAAAATTCTAACCGCTTTTCCTACGAGCAATCACTCAAAGCGCATTTCTTTGGCAAGAATTTTCTTCACCAACGACCTATTTGTGGAAAATGCACTAATAATTTCTTAAGTTAGATTCATGTATATTTTTTTAATGAAGTCATACGTTGTTACTGTTATTGCTGTGTAGAAAGATCCCCCATGATTTGCCTGTTTAACTCTAACTGTCCCACTCCCTACAGTCCAACTGTGACGTGTGTGGCCGAGTGAACTGTGACCTGTGACCTGTGTGCGGCCGAGTGACCTGTGACCTTTGCAGCCGAGGGACCTGTGACCTATGAAGCCGAGTGACCTGTGACGTGTGCGGCCGAATGACCTGTGACCTTTGACGTTACTGCATCGATGCTGATAGGCAGCCTTAGCAAGTAAGTAAGCCCGCTCACTACATGTAGTTTTACATAGGGGGCGCTTTTTAGAAGCTCACTACGCGTAGTGTTGCATCAAGGGCGTTTTGTTGAGACTAGTCGGTATGGGCATTTGAGTTATTCGCCACTTTCCGGGTAGCAAGATGGGTCTCCCTCATTGATACAACGATTTGTGACTCGCATAAAAATATTCTCATTTCTGTTGCGCTCTGCTGCGCTCTCCCCGACCCAATAAGCCGTTACTGCAATAGCAGAAATGACTGATGGTGACCTGAGCTGACCCTGCGCCGCGCGACATTTACGGGATAGTTCTGGAGTTGGCCGGTGTTGAGCCAGATCCTTGAGCTGCCACATACATGAGAGGTAGGTCAGGTGTTGAGGGCCATGTTTTTATTTTATATTCCGACATTTCATGACTAGACATGGTGACGGCACACTCAAGTTATATCAACTTATTTTATGCCGCCACCAACGCAGAGGACGAGTACAGGACAAGGAATACTCATTGGCACTTGATGAGTGACGAAGGTCGTGTAAAGTGCCTTTCCCAAGGGCGGTGGCATGTCAGGACTCGAACCCAGGACCTCTTGGTTCTGAGTCGTGCACGCCGCCGCTACGCCACACGACCCTCACAAAGAGGCCAGGTGTTTAGGGCCATGGTTAGCGTTGGTATTAGAGTCATGGTTAGAGTTGGGAGCATTTTTTCAGGGCTAGGGTTAGACTTACGATTGGGGTTATGTTAGGTCTCCCACATCACGACTAAACCCCTCCCACCTCTTGTCTTAGGTATATTGGAAACCCCCAAGTAGTGTATATGAGTCATGTAGTTGGCAGGATCATGTATATGGCTTGACACCGGTTTCACACCCTGGCGCAGTCAGTCGGTAACATGACCGGTACCTGTCATCAATTATCCAGTGTCAACCACCGTGCGGATGAGCTGTCAGGGTCTTATAGCGAATCGAGATTACGGGTTACACTTGACAAAAATGGATTACAAAGGTGTTGCCAAAGTTGCCAAATTTCGGGGGAAGAAGTTGCGAGAACTACTGACACTATACCATTTTTTATATTCCAACAAGTAATCACAAGACGTAGTGACGGCACACTAAAGTTTTTCAACTTAATGCCACCACCAACACATGGGACAAATACAATACTCATTTCCACCTGAGCGAATTGAGGAAAGTCGTGTAAAGTACCTTTCCGAAGGGCACAAGATCGGTGGTATGTTCGACTGACTACTGCTATTTTCCTAAGGGGCACCAGTCCTGAAGACATAAGACAGACTACCTAAGACTTCTTAGG